CTTCCCCCCCTGCAGATTAGCCCCCTCCCCCACTTACCTGAGTGAGCGGATCTCCCCACTCCTCCACTTACCTGAGTGAGCGGATCTCCCCACTCCTCCACTTACCTGAGTGAGCGGATCTCCCCACTCCTCCACTTACCTGAGTGAGCGGACCGCCTCCCTCTCCCACTTACGTGATCTGTAAATTCTTAGCATAACCACAATGATGAGGGGAAAAGATTGAGATGGGGGATGGAGATACTAGGGCTTAAGGACTCAGAAGTACTGACTGTGGAAAAGTGGGGGCAGACTCATTGATATGGCACATGCGAAGGACAGAGGCATTGGGCGTGTCAATGGGGGGAGACACTAATGTGAGGCGACTTGAATGTAGATGGGGAGAGAATGGTAACTCATAAAGCAATAATGTACACATGCAGCCCACGATTGGGGCATGGAGACTGAGGGGATCATTGGGAGAGACATGGAGCCAGAGAGACTCAGGGAGCAAGGTCAGGACAATGGCAGACTCAGAAATCAGTAAACCTTCAGTCAACCTGTAGAGGTTTTGCTTTATTAACACCTGGAGTAGTTATTAAAACTGTCTGGACTAAACGACAGAACATCATGTCTTGAAATTTTCAGCGGGCAGTGAAACTCTGAACATATTCACCCACAATGCAGGATGGTGACCCCAGAAAGACCAGAAACAGACACACTGAGACATGTTTGTACCAGCAATTAGTGACCGTCCCCTGTGCAAAGTATTTTCTCTCATTATAGACATGAGTCAAAGTGTACACACCACATACTGGATTTAATGATAAAACTTACATTGTTGATTACTGCTTGATGAAATCTTGTCATCATGAATAGTTTCCATTCTCCTTATGCAAATCAATTTTCAAATTATCTTTACTTTTTTTTCAATTTTAAAAGTTTCGGAAACCTCACAATTGCCAAAAATGAATGTCATTAGTAAAAAATTTGGCTTTATTTTTATTTAATGGTTTTAGTGTTGCATTAAGGCTTCTGTGTGCATACTTACTCATTTGTACTCATCTTTATTTTTTTGGTGCTACTCAGTCTCAATGTGGCCTCTTCTTCATAGTCTTGCAGGGGTTCTGTTCAGCTATTCAGATGATTCTTGAGGTTGATTGCTCTATAATTTGTAATTTTGGTGTGATCCTGGGATGCAGTGGGCTATGTAGCATTTACCTAATCCACCATCTTGAAAGTATTTTTAATTTTTACATTTCTTTTTAGAGCAGTTTAGATAATAATTGTGAAGATAGAAGTTCCTGTATGCCCACAGCCAGCTCCCAATGTCATGAAGTGAGATACACCATAAATGAGAAATGTGGCCCAGGAACCTCCCTGTGGAAGAGGAGAGTCAGACATGAGGCATGTGGAGAGATGAGAAAAAGCTTTGTGGTTGGATTGGAATTAAAGGTATCAAGTGGTGGTTTGAACAAATAGAAAGGGAATACACATAAATGAGTATAACAGCTTGGATATGTGTCGCCCTTCCAAGAAATCACCCTGTCAGAATGCCTATGGTCAAAAAGTAACAAGTGCTGGCGAGGATGTGGAGAAAAGGGAACCCTTGTGCACTGTTGGTAGGATTGCACACTGGGGGAGCCACTATGAAAAGCAATATGGAGATTTCTAATACATTAACAATAGAACTGCCTTATGCCCCCACAATTCCACTTCTGGGTGTTTATCCCAAAAAGGCAAATCACTATTTCAAAAACCCATATGCACCCCTGTGGTCACTGCAGCATTTTTTTAAATTGCCAAGATATGGAACCAACCTATGTTTCTGTGAATGGATGAATATAT